ACGTTGTTAATGGTGGTTGGTGTTGGGGGGGGGAATGAGTAGGGGGTTTTGTGGGTTTTGTTTATTTGCTTGAATTAAGCACTTCTAACAGCTTGCTATCTTTAGGCACTCTTCTTCACTGGATTTTGGACTCTGTGACCCCACCCTGATGCATGACACACCCATGATTGCTGGTGTTGCTCATCAGTGAAAAATAACAGTAAAATATTTAATATCTGACAAAAGTTACTTTTTTTTTTTCCAATCTACGGAGGACGCAATACTAACATCAACTTAGTAAGACAACAGGTAGTTACATATGAGGGAAGTACAAAATAGAAATACATATAGTTGCATTTTCATCTTCACTGCTAAATACTTAAGCCTTTCCCCCTCCTTTAAAAGAAACAAAATTTACTCAGTTTTCCAACAGTATTTGTACCATTTTTATTTGTAAAAATAACCATCTGAATGCATTGCAATAGTAGTTTACAAGTTAGGGTTCTTCATTACATTAATACAGCATTCAGTAGTTGAAAAAGTTACTAAACTGTGCTTGAGAAGATTCAGGTTGAATTCCAAGTCATTCACTGAAGTAAGTCTTCTTCCTCATTTCATATGTGACATTTACCCAAGTCTTTAAACTTCAATTTACAAAAGCAAACAATACCGACAAAACCCCACTGAAACCATCAAACAATATTTTATATTGTTTATTACAAATGTTATGCAAAATATAACACTGGCACCAGATTCGTATCACCATGGTTTGTAAAGATATATTGCACATGCTAAAGCATAAAATATAAGACAAAACCTACAAAACATAAGATATTGGCTTTAATATGTAGATCACTGCATAAGAAACGCATAAAATTACATTTTATACACACACTCGGATTGTCACTAGTTTAAAACGCCCTTTCCTATAACACTGACCTAAGGTTTACTTTTTGTGTAATAAGAAAGCATTTTCAGCAAAGCAAAAATTATACATTATTCCTATAGAAATTTAGCATATTAATTTTCATTTCAATGCAGGTAGAACATATGAAAAGAAGAAACATTTTATACATTCAGAAGGTCTGAATTCCTATAGAAATTTAGCATATTAATTTTCATTTCAATGCAGGTAGAACATATGAAAAGAAGAAACATTTTATACATTCAAAGAAGGTCTGAAATGAAAATTTACTGGTAATATATTGCTTTTATAACACTCAAATGAAGAAAAAAAAAAAAGACGAGTTTCACAAAACATTTCCATAATACACAAATATAAAAAGGCACTCTAATATTTCTTACATGACTAAGAATAAAAATCACAATTTTTTTTAAAATCATCCTCAAGATACATAACCAAGTTTCTCAACAGTACAATGGATAAACAATTCATTTCATGTGTTTGTTCTAGTTCAATAATCTGGCAGTTGTTTACTGCATAAAAGTACCAAACACATTATGGTGCCCTTTTAGTAGCGATGAACAGAAATCCCCTGAGCTATTTCACAGCAATTTCAGGCAGTCCGGAGGTTGTAACTCAGTATTTATGAGAGAGACTTGGGACCCCATCCTGCTATGGATTCCACCTGCAGCTGTGGTTAAAATATAGGATGAAACGATCCTGCTAATACACCCGGGCAGGCGGCTGCCCCTCCCCAAATATCCTTTGCTTGGTACAGACAGAGGAGTTGTCCATGTACGGTAAATTGCAGGATCCAGGGTTAAGTGCAACAATTATGTATGATTAACTCTACTCTTGTAAAAAGTCCACAGAAAGGCAAGGTGATTATTTACAAGAGCAAAATTATTCCCATGCTTAAATATCTGCCCTAAATTACAAATTTATTTCTACATGTGATAAATTACATTACAGATTAATGTACTAGCATACAAAAAAAGGGATTCTGGTAACTCATGTGGGATAGGCCAATACTGAGTACTTCCAAGCATCTTGCTCATGTCAGTTGTCCTCCTAAACACACCATACTCAAAACATGACTTTCCCAATGCCCTTAAGATGCTAGCAAATTATATGTTTCTGTGATTTTTTGAATATTGCATACTTACATCATTGTTAGTTTACAGAAAAGTTTAATCAGTAAAGTTCAGATTTGGTTCCTAGAAGGATCAAAGTAATTCAGTAATCACCTATGCTTCTATAATGTTGTATAAATCATTAAGAGGCAGCAGTTGTTGCACTACACAATAACCAGAGTTACGAGGTATTGCAAATACACAGAAATATTTTCAGTAACTCTGTATGGTAGCAAGTAAAAATACTGAAATTTTTAAATGGCTGCTTAATACAATACAACATCCTCTTTGTAAAGAGGACTGGTTTTCTCCTAATGAAGCAACTTCATGTAGGATAGCGTAACTTTCGGTTAAAGTAAGATGGTTATTGCTATTCTGCAACTCTTAAAAGCAAAAACGTTGAGAAAAATCCATCATAAAAATGTTATTCTGTGCTATTTCTGAGGAGAAAACCAGGGTTTCAGGTGCTCTGTCATTCTATTGCAGAAAATACAGAGTTGAAGGAAAAGAAATGTTCACCTTTTTAATATCCTCTTTGTAAAGAGGACTGGTTTTCTCCTAATGAAGCAACTTCATGTAGGATAGCGTAACTTTCGGTTAAAGTAAGATGGTTATTGCTATTCTGCAACTCTTAAAAGCAAAAACGTTGAGAAAAATCCATCATAAAAATGTTATTCTGTGCTATTTCTGAGGAGAAAACCAGGGTTTCAGGTGCTCTGTCATTCTATTGCAGAAAATACAGAGTTGAAGGAAAAGAAATGTTCACCTTTAGATACTATCCTTGTGATTTTTTTGTTGCAAACTTTGGAAATTTGTTAATGTTCAAGGAAACTATTTATTTTTACCTAATGTTCAAGGAAACAATATTTAATTTTAGCAAAGCAAAATAAACTTAATATATAAATATTTTTCCTAATTAAAGAACTGGAATCTGCCAATAGATTTTTAACAATTCAGTGGAACACAGCTAAAAACTGCAACTAAAATAAAAATCTTTACTTTTCATTTACCCTGCCGAAAGCGTGCACTGAGGAAGCTCATCTCATCCTCCCAGCACAGATGTAGGCCTGCAGACAGCCTGAGTGTGAATCACGGGAACTTTAACACCTTGACTCCATGCTGTATTACCTTTTCCCCTCTTTACTGTAGCTGTAGAGCGTTCTCTCACTTGTCTAGCAAGGGGTTGGATCCCTTTCTTACGCTCTTAAATGGTGGAAGGTGTTTTGCTCTCTGCTTTTTAGCAATATAGCCTGCGGACTTTATCTTTGCATTCCATACAAGAAGATGGGCACTCTCCCTTCCTTTTTCTACTCAGGCCGTCAGTCTTGCCTAGATTCACATTTCATTTTGCATCATGCCAAATAGTATGCACAAATACTACCTAGGAGAACAAGCCATAGTTATTTTTCCTGGGCATTTGTTTCATTTCAAATAAATATAAACACATTTACATTAAAAGTATATGAACATATTCTTTAGTCTGGATAAAAAAAAAACCTGTGGTCAACACATCATCAGTTACAAATGTCAACTTGAAACCTGCGTCATAAAATGTAAAATTCACTCAAGACTACTCATTACCTCAAAAGTTTATATTTTTACGGTTTAGAAAAACTACTTCATTATGTCACTCACATTTGAAGAAAAAATAAAAGTAGCAAAGTCTTCCATTTAATTACTGAAGCATTTTGGTCCTCTTGGTACAGCTGGTTAGTTCATGGTAGCTTTTTGTTTAGTTTTTTTTTGTTTTTGTTTACATAGTCTCATTCTTCCTTTTGTACATCTGTTGCAGGCGAGGGTCGTGGTCCATTTGACCTAGAAACTTTGGCAGAAGGAGTAAACATATTCACAAAGCTGACATTGCTTTAAAAGCTGGTGACAATAGGCTTTTTTAGCATGTATCTCTGATCCCCTGCACGGTACGCTGCTATGTTTTCTGGTGTTTGGTATTTCAACTTTTGGTGTTACGCTTTCATTGCTTTACCTTTGCTCTGTTAATCCAAACACTGGCAAAAGTATTTTAAAATTTGATACTGTTTACAGTAAAAATAAGTTATTTAAACATAGAAAAGGAAAAAAATCCATTTAAGTTGGCAAGTCATTATAAACTTTTACATACACCTTTGTCTACACCTGATTATTTTTTTTCTGATACTAGATTCATGGTTAACGGCTCAGGTGACAGAAACATCTAATGACCCTAATTCTGTAGTGCAAATAAACCGTACATGTTTGTGCTGAATTGAAAAAAAATAAGGGCCAAGTGATTTTAATTTTACACAAGTGGTTCCACTAATGTCCGTGGGAAAATACGATGAGACAAGTAGAATTTGGCCTTAAGAGTTTATAACTATTTTTCTAATTGTGTGCTGCAACTAAGAACTGTAAAAAGTGCCTTCTGTAGGTTTAAGTGCTTAATACATGCAGAATGTAAAAGATTTTGTTTCCTGTAGAAAAGTAATAAAGGCAGTTTTAAGATTTACAACTTTACCTTTGGTTTGTGTAAAAAAAATTATCTAATTAACAAAGCCCCTGGAAGCAGGAAACAGGCAAACAGAGGAAAGGGGTGATGCTCGAATCTATGAAGGCTACACAGGAAATAAGTTCATGTGCTAAAGGTACAGCTAAAACATGTAAGAACTTTTTACAAACAGTTCCCTGTTTATTTGTGCTGTCAAAAAGAAAAAAGGCATTTTCTCATCTTCTTAAAATAAGAGGTAGAGACTTTCCACAGGGGCACTTAGGGCCTAAAGAAAACATGAGGAAGCTGAAAAGCTGCAGAACATTAATGGGGATATGTTCCAGTAAATCCCTCTAACTTTGTTATTTAAAGGCTTGATTCTCATTGACACTACAAATCTTTCAATACCTACTTGTCAAGAATAATAGTTAAGAATATAGCCATGGGATTTAAGCTGTTTAAAAAGACAAAAATAAAGCTGAAATGAAATAACAATGAAAAAAAGGTTTTGAATACCAAAAAGTCAAAATGTTTCAGAATCCGAATCATTGTCATTATACCCATCCTCTGTTCCTATGTTATTACTCAAGGGCTTATTGTAAGAGTTAATGCTACCCATACTGGAGCCATCGCAGAGATGTGTCCTGCCCAAATTGTCTTTTTTAAAACAAACGAAGTTGAAAGCCGTCATTGAACTGGAAGGAGAAAAAGGCATCATGGTAGCCAAAATGAGTGCCAGGCAGTCAGCCACGTCTTTGTTAGGAGCGCAAGCCAGGGCTGGCGTATGACCTGGGCACAAATGCAGACAAGGCAATGGTTAGTACTAAGGGTACTGAGAATGGCACTGAGCATTCCTCTTATACATCTCTAGGTGACGTCGTAAGCAGGAGATGTATGTTCAGCTACAATCATGCCAGGCAACAGGGGTATGTTACTTATTTTAAATTAGACATGCTGGGAAAATACACACTTTATGGAGCATTTAGATCACTGTGACCACAACAAGCGCTATTTTTTTAAAATCAGGCAGCAAACAGGCTTCACGATATGAATAAAAGCACTTGCTAAACACATTTCTACAGCACAGACAGTATGATGGATACAGAACACGGGGAGTACAGCAACAGGGACAGAAACTGGCTTCAGTTTCTGTGCATATGAACAAGTCTCATTCTGAGAACAATGACTTTCATTAGAATGTAAAGATATTAGTTTAAAAACATTTTGAAATACTAAGCAAACGATTTTAAAGACTGATCAGTTGAGTATCTACTCAACTCAGGAAGCAGTTTATTTAGGAATTAAATTACGAGAGAAAAGAATTAGACCAGTGCACGTGGTACGTGTATAGCAGGTATGACTAAGTGGATGTTTAGTTACCCAAATTTACATTATGTTAGACGAATAATGACTGTATTCAGAAAGCATGGAATACACTTCAAATACGAAGTTAATATTCTACAGATGTCAGTAAAACGAAGAACTGGGGAGCTATTAAAAGTTTGTCTTCACTGCAGTTTAACGTGGCTCCTGTCCAAGCGCTGCCCCTAAAGCAGCTCTTCACATATACAAATCTTGGAAAGCAGTATGCTGATTACACTTGCTATCTATACATTTTGGAGGCTGCTGTGTAGTACTCCAGCACTTTCCAACAAATCCTCCTTTATACTAAGAGCAAACAAATTCTTTTGAAGATGGCTAAATCTTAAGTGCTGCAGCAATAGTAATCTGAGGCAATGACCACTACTGATACCCTACTGCCTCAAGTAAGCTGAGAACACCTGCAGTGTAGATGAGTTTGGCAGACAAACGTGAGTACAGTTTTGTAACAAACTACCCACATTTAAGCACTGACTGCAGTGAATGCATACCCTAAACGGAATTTCCTCTTCCACCGAGTTCCAAGCGTGAATATTCTTTAGAGTTGTACTTATACTAAGATTGTACTTAAATTTTCTTTTTTAAACTGCGTATGCAGTTGTTCCTAGAAAAATTAAATGTGTATCAAATTCAAACTTAATTTTCACTTGTTACATACATGCAAATTAGGTGGATCCGTATGTACAATTTTAACGATAAAAACTGGGGTTAGAAGCTAGTCTCGTTCATTTTCCCGTCCCCTATCTCTAAAATGAGGTTAGGGCCAGATGACTTCAGTGGAACTCATTCATGCAAGTATATCTAGGTAGCACTTGGTTAATAGTAAATACTCACCACTCATTTCTTTTCATCCACAGATCTCAAATGTCTTGCAATGATGGGTGAGTATTATTATTATTGTTACTTTACAGATATGGGAAGATGGAGGTACCAAATTGTTACATTAATGCCGTGAAGTCAGTATTGTAATAAAGACCAGCTTATTTCAGGAGGACATTTCTGAAAACATTAATTATAGAAGCACAGCCCTCTATGGGCTTTATAATGTTTAGGGAAGGACTTCATTGAGATCTGAAACAAAATTATCAGATTTATTAACTAACCATGTATTTTATGAGGCAACAGTAATTTATTTGCATCTTGGATTAGGTCAGACAATTGGTAAGCACAAGCTTTGATCTCAGAATGAACTGGGACACAATCAAACATATGTTGATGGTTTTCTTCCTACCCATTAAAACATGCGCTGATTGAATGCATAATCCTTAATTCTTCTGCAAGGCGTCAGAATTATCCGGTGCCACTTGCATGTTTAGGAAATTCAAGTTACCACCGCACTCAAGCATTAAAAAAGACTAGCTGTTGACAGTACATGCAAAATGAACAGTAAAAGGGACCGCTGTGATGTTTAGAATACATTTTTATATTAAAGAAAAATAAATAGTATCTTTCTTTTAATAGGTACTCACACAGATCATTGTCTGTTCTTGGAAGGATAAAAGCATCAATGATGTCTATCATCAGCTTTTAAGTCTATTGCTTCCCTTTGTTGTAAAATTACCTGTTGGGTCCTACTGAAGATTGTCAAAGTGTATTATTTACTTACCATTTTCATCTACTGCTAGGACACATGCCCCTTTGGCTAGCAACTCTTCAACCACCATCTTTAAGCCGTTTCGTGCAGCAATATGGAGAGGTCTACAAAAACATGACAACTAAATTCAAGTTCAGTTTAAAATAGGCTTTCTAAAAAGTTAGGTAATGCTTAAAGCATACCCAGCATCAGAAAGAGAATATTTTCCTTTTTTGGATCATTACAATTATATTGTAGACATTAAATTATATTACAGCCTTTAAAATAATCCTCATGTTCCACATCTATAAAACATATGTGCAAGACAAATATAACCACCTTTACGTACACAAAGATTGCTTAATACTTTCCAGTCTAAAGTCTTTCTTTAAAAAGCTCTCATTTTTCCCACTATTTGCAGCACACAATTGACATTTAAAAGGAAAATGAATCTAAGACCGAAGAAATGCCTTTGTTCCATCCTTCATTCTGGCTACTACAGACTGTTCAAAATTATTGTATTGCCTTTTTATTCTTGAATACTCGATTGCTAATCTCTGTTACTGCAGAGCAGCTGGAAATTAAAAGTAACCACTGGTTTGCTTCCTTCCTGGGCCAACACCCAATGCTCCTGTTTGGGGACAGCTAGTGGGACAGGAGAAACAATTTCATAATGGAAGGGGGAAAAAAGGGCTAAGATGGAGTGAATTCTTCTGCAAGCACCAGATGATCTGCCCCCTGAACTCGTGGTTGAATCTTCTCCTGTGGGATTCCCCCATACCAGTCAAACAGTTGCAGCTGGAGTAAGAATATTGACGGTTCTAACTCTGCTGATAATGTATGGTATGGACAGGAGTTGGACATAAAATATCACCTAAAAAAAACCTCTGAAAATTAAATGTACCACCTTAAGTCTAAATAAATTATTTAGATTTAAGGTGAAGCTCAAAAAGCTGGGAAATGCCAGATGTATACTTACACATTCACATGATTAATAGACATTTTGGTATAGTCTTCAAATAAATGAGCTCATATAATTTTTCCACCAGACCATGTATAGAATTGGCATCAAAGGAATCAAAATTAAAAGTGAAAATGCAATACAAATCCGGTCTTTTCAAGGGCAAGCACTCAAAAATATCAGAAATTAACCTTTTTGTTCTATGAAAAAATCTGGGACATGAATTTGAAATGTTAAATCGGAATCTTCTGGTAAGTCAACTGAACTTGAGAGGATCAGGCTATACTTACGTCTGCAATGCATTATTTTTTGCATTAATAAGGCTCTGTTCTTGTATCTCATCAAGTATCAACAAGGCACATTTTTCATGACCCTGTAGTTGGGGAAAAAAACCAAGAGTGTTAATTTGCTGAGGAGTTTGAAATTGAGGCAAAAGAAATGTTACATATAAAAGTGAAATTTAATAACTCAATTTGAAATACAAACCATGCTACTCAGCTTATAAGGATGTGTAGTAGGTGAACTGTAGGAGCCTTAAAATACCATTTACAAACCGCCACTGCTAGGATGCTTTAGCACATTTAGAAATGTAGACATTGACCTGTCTTTCAACCCTCCATTCATTATATATGAATTCACCTCCTCAGCTTTCAGAGAAGACTGCTATTTCTCTTGAGAGAGCATTCGATGGATTATTTATTAGAACTACATAGTAACATAGAAAGAGATGGTTTAATCTCAAAAACTAATACTATACTTTCTGGATCGTGAAATGCCTTTCTGTATTATTAATAAGCTACTACAAAATCCCTTCAGTGCGAGAGCTCTAATAATGAAACTTTGGAAATAATACAGATCCGGGCCTTATTTCTGATACTGTTTCAGCACAGCAAGCCACAGGTGCCGAACCTACAGCCCTGGCAGGTGACCAGCTGCCTGAAGGACCTTGAGAATTCAGCGAGGCTCATGTGTCTGCAGAAACTGGAGAAATACTATCACACAGGAATCCAATCTGTGGATAGGAGCAAAAGAAAAGGCCCAGGAGAGGGAATCCCATGGGCATTTTTTCTTGCAGAAACAGCAGTAGCAACTGGAATTAAGAGGAGGAAAGGGTGGGAAAAGACACCACCACCAATCTAATCAATGCTTCTGGTTTTACTGCTACAGAGCATAAGGGAAAATTTTGGGTTCCTTCCACAGAAATTGGAGAATAAGAAAAAAGAATAAATACCTTTTTTTTTTTCTTTGCCACTGAACCTATGTTAAGCTATTTCACAGTGAGATTATTTGGTAAAATCTCAAAGGATTTTCCAGTATTTCTCTTAGTTTCCCTTCCTTATGTTTCAGCTGTCATAAGAGGCATCCATATTTCTCAATTTACTAAACCTTGAAACAGACTTGAGAAAAAGCTTGCAACAATGCTCCATTCCTCACCACAAGTTTGACCATCACATTTCCACTGCAGAAAAATTTTTAGGAGCATAAACACACACATACATACAGACAGACAGACAGACTGTGAAGAGAATAGAAGCATACAGAGGTCTTCAACTTACTTTACTGCTAGCCAAGTGCAAGGATGTATTCAGCTCCTTATCTTTTAATGTCAGGTCAGCCTTGGCAATGTTCACCAAAAAGTCTGAGGCATAGAACAGAAATCAACAAACAAACCCAATGGGCAGACGACCGTGTAAAAACAGAGGAAAAAATTTACTATTTCAATATACACATGCATACATGCTAATCAATTAAGCCTTTATGTGATGTAAGCTTTATGAACACGAAGTGAAAATAATGAATGAGAACAGACTAATCTCGTGCAGTTAATCAGCAAGCAAAGGCAAAGCTAATAGCTCATTCACTGTGCCCCAAACTGTCAAACATATATTCATCTTAATTTATTTATAAACTTCCCCAATTGCAGATCAGCCAGTACTGCCTGAATCACCTCCTCCTAGGAACAACTGTGGATCCTGCTTTGAGAGGGCTAAGTGGATATAAAGAATTTAGGGTGCAGTCTGTGCTGTTGAAGCTAGAGAAAAGGGAATTCTGTTAAGCCAATATGACCCTAATCTGGATGTCTATAGTATAAAGTCTAGCCTGGAAAAGCAGCTGCTGATAGCTGCCATTTTAAGAATAGGACTTCCTATAATAGAGCAGAAAAAAAGGTTACACAATCTTTTTCACACGTGCAGTTTTACTGCTCCATAAAATCAAGGAAGTAAACAGGAGAATGGAATTACTACTCCCCTCATGCTCTTTACAGTGCGCTCTTAGGAGGAAGTAAGACTGAAGTTTGTTATTGCAACTGTTCACCAAGACTACTGAGAAAAAATGACTGAGAAGAAAAAGATATTTTTTACAGATGTAAAGGTAGCTTCTTACAGACATCCACACAATTTATTTTTCTTCCTTAGGTTTCACAGGAAAAAAAGATGACTACCTATTTGGGATAGTAACTGCAGTAGCACTCACCCTTCAAGACAAACAGAGGCAAGGATGTACTTACCTACCGCACCTACATGACCGTTTTGAGCTGCCATCATGAGAGGTGTTTTCCCTGCGTGATCCGCAGCATTCACTTGTGCGCTGTGACTCAGGAGGAGCTGGAGGCACTCCACGTGATCCGCGAAGGCTGCTGCGTGAAGGGGCGTTCTGTAGGGAAAGTAACACGACCACAGCTGTTGCTAAAGAATGACAATATTCCTGTTTACTTACCTTCCCAAGAACCTGAAAGTGCACGACATTCTTAATTTTTTTTCCCCTATGAAACTTTGCATTATCACCAGGGGAACTTTACAGTAGCAGCATAAGTTAAAATAATATTTACAGTCTCTGTCCTGGTGCAATATAAACTTTAAAAAAAGGGAAGCATAAGGTGGATATGATACTGTGGAGATGAGATACTGTGGAGAATCTCATATTAGCAGCATCGTTATTTTAATGGAGCATACTGCATGATATGAAAAGCAGTACAATCCCTCATTCTTATTAATCTGATTTTGTTTTTTTTAACAAGCCTAAGATGGGAAGAACTATCAGAAAAGAACAGATCCATTAAAAAAAGGGAAGCATAAGGTGGATATGATACTGTGGAGATGAGATACTGTGGAGAATCTCATATTAGCAGCATCGTTATTTTAATGGAGCATACTGCATGATATGAAAAGCAGTACAATCCCTCATTCTTATTAATCTGATTTTGTTTTTTTTAACAAGCCTAAGATGGGAAGAACTATCAGAAAAGAACAGATCCATTATTTAAAAAAACTGAAGTATTTTAAGTTATAGTCAAAAATACTGCAGCAACAAGCTACAATAATAGTATTTCTATAAAAGGCAGAAGGAATTCTGTCCACTTTGAAGGTTATCAGTTTCCGCAAGACTGAGACACTAGAATTCGTTTGCTGTCTCCCTATGGCATTTTGGGTCTGAAGTGTGACTAATAGAGATGAAAAATAGTTGGTACGCAACCCAGCTCATGGTGTTACTTCAGGTTTTGCTTCTCAGTAAGGGTGAGGCGATCTTACCCTTATAGGAGCAAGTAATCACCATTACTGAAGGTCTTGAATTTGTTTTAATTAATAGAAACAATGACTATTCAATTTTTAGAATTTCAGCAATTTTAATTTTATATATATATACACACACACATAGTGATGAGATTATCAACGGGACAAATTAAGGATTTGGCTGAATGCATGTCTCTTGCTCTATCAGTATCATTTTGCTGCACAGATGTTTTCAGTTGTGTGCCCTGAGAACGCTAACATAACATTAAAGTTTTTAATGAAATACTTTTCTATGTGTACATAGTATCACTCCATTTAGCAAAAATAAACGTGTTTAAGTATTTAACAAAGAAAACTGGTTCAGGGAAACAGCCTATAGTCATAGCTGTTCTAAACAACCAAAATACTATTTCTTTTGTATTTCTTTTCATATGTACTATGAAACTGAATACTTCATAGTATTCTTGCTTCAAGTGAGCCACCATTTAACTCTGTTGCAGTGTAAACTGCTGTCTGAAAGAGTCAGCGTGACAAGACTTAGTTCAACCGTATCAGATAAGGATTAGTTCCAGAGGTTCAGAAAGAATCATGAAAAATACTAGATGGATTCATGAACATGAAATGCAATTTGTTTAAGAAAATATTACCTTCCTTTGTCATCTTTGCAATTGACAATGCTGGCATCGATAGCTCCGATGAGCAGTGATGCACAGTTTTCGTGATCATTGATTCTGCCAAAGAAAAGACATTTTCAAAAAGGTAAAAAGTCTACATCTTTTCCAACTTTCCAGTATTAATTTACTTCCATTAATATCCCATTAATATTTCTTATTGGTTATTTATAAGTTATCCTAACATACCTTTGTCGTAATGCTTTCAGTCACATTTCTGATTATTCATCATCTCTCCATTCAACCAAACTGCATCTGCTACTATAAATTTCAGTCTCTAAAGCAAAGCTGATCCTGCAATTGGCTATGCACAAAGGTAATTGAAAGTGCAGCACAAACCTAGGATTAAAACCTTAATACCTTAAAATCCTTTAGTCTAAATGTCAAACACACCTGGATCTGGAAAGCACTCAGTCATAGATACCTACATATAGAAAGCTTTATTCTAATGTTTTAGGTACTGAAGCCCACATGTCTTCCAACTCACACATTTAATACTTTTCCTTGATGGATGGACTGAATTAATACTCTTTCTGGTTATTGTTAATTTGTCCCATTTCATTATGAAAATGAACAGTGTTTAGTAACAGTATTGGACATACAGCATAGCTAACAAACACCCACGCTGGATTAGCAGCTGTTTTCATTTTAAATTTGCATGCATTTTTAAGTTGCACACATTTTTAATGGGTTTGAGAATTACATACTAGTTTAAAAGAATATAAATATTGAAAAAAAAAAATTTCAAAGCCATCACTAGAAATTCAGATTTCAAAGACTATGTTTCAGACACAAATGATTTTATTTTAAGCAGAGTAAAAAAAGTGCTTTTGATATGCTTTTATTTCTCTAATATGTTGGGGTTTTTATAATTTCAAAGTTTGATACATGATAAATTACTTTTCTACTTTCCGATGATGTGGACTGTAGAAGGGAAGCCTACACAATAGTAACTCCTATCATTACTTCTGGAAGACATTCATTCTTCTAATAGAACATAGAATAGAATACAGTCATTCTAATTGTTGGCAGATATTAGGAAGGTTTGCATTTGTTTTTTCAGTGCTTAATTCCTTAGTCTCCTGATGGCTTACATGTTTTAATAAGCATGTTAGGTCCTACAAACTAAAGTAATCTTGCATTTTAAAAAAAATGCATTTGCAATTATGTTATGAAAAGTTACGATTTTGCTCTATTAGAATCCTTCCCATATGAAAACATACTGCTTTATTGGAATAAGGAATATGTATAAAATACATGCATGGAAGAAGAGGAATAACTCATAATAGCTACCACCTTTTTGTTGTTCATAAGTAATATGAGAACTTTGGATACAGAGTCTGCCTCTATAACCCATCAATCCCTTTGGCTAGGGCCTGGGTAAGAAGTACCAAAGCTTCAAGATAGAGATTAGCTCAGAAGCAAAAAAGACCATGAAGAAAATCAGTCTGGAAAACACTCAGCTGAGGCTGTCTTGGAAAAAATACGGCCTGCACAGAACACCATTCTAGCATGACACAGATTGTTGTTTCAAATCCTTCCTTCATTAACGCTTTGTTCCTATTGCTAAAAAAGAATCATCTTGATTCTGACAAATTTCTTAACTCTCAGCCACTGGGTTTCAAAGGAACCTCAAAAGCTCATACTTACACGGACCAAGGCACTATAGCCCAGGTCATGGCCTAAGAATGGAAGAGCTATGAAGTTCCAGCCTGTGTGAAGAAAAGGCATAGGTCTGTAGTTGTAAGCAAGGGAAAAGAAACTACAAAGGGAGCAGAAATGCAGCTATTTAATTAGAAGTCAGAATTTCAACAAATAGCCTAAATGTACAAAATTTATGCAAAAATACTCTTTATTCTGCCACTTTTTCAGCAGAAGTATAAGCACAATTTTATGATCAGCTTTAAATTATTTGCTCATGCAAATAATCTAAAAAAACCCCCACTTTATTCTCATACTGCTACTTCTTCCAGACATATCCTAAAGCATTTGTTACTGGAGATTTCTACTTACACGGCACAGTGCAATGGAGAGAAGCTATTACCATAGAATGTGCGGAAAGATTTTTGTTCCAATAGTACCTCTATGCAGTTTTCATGACCTATAAGAGATCAGACATTTCACAGTGTTGCACAAAGCAACTAATTCACTTAATTCCTATTAGGCTTATACAGATTAGAATTTAACACTAAGTTCAAAGTTGAACACAATGTGTATATAAGCTTTTATGTGATAAAATTATAAACAGAATTTTTTTTTTTTTATGGCAGCAGCAAGATAGATCCAGGCTAATATTAGCACTTACTGAAAAAAAGGAAAGGAAAAAAAAGTCTCTTTTTTATGTAATGTTATGTATGTTGCCTTACACGTCTCCAAAGATGGTCTTAAATGATGGTATTAGGAAGCTTTATCCTTATATTAAGCAACAAGTTCAGATTATCCAGTTTAGAATAATCAGTTCAGTTGAGAATATCCATCTATTCAGTATTTATCTCTTGCATCAATAAATTAGAGGGTGACACCTCAAAGGAGCATTCCTGGCCCCACAGAAATCAATGAGAATTTCATCGCTGATGTCAGTAAAACCAGAATTTCACCCTGGCCTCCTGTGACTGGGAGCAAATGAGCTGCAAAGCCACTGGGAAGTATTGCTGGAATTTCCCTGGCTTCTGAACTGAAGGGTGAACATAGTGAATGCTAACTACAGAGAGCAAGTAGAGGGGAGATAAGTTGCCTCTTCATTTCAAGCTTCGCAAAGCGTTAGGCTGCTTTGTTAGCGTGTTTCCCTAAAACTGAGGCAACATTTGAACTTGGCAAAAGTCCACAGAGAGAAACTTACCATTGTAGCAAGCCCAGTGCAGCGGTGTATAACCTTGATTATCTTTCAAACTGCAGTCTTCCTCTGAAAGTGCTATCTGCAGTAATTCACTCAGCCAAGTGGCATGACCCCGAGCTGCTGCAAAGTGCAGAGGTGTTCTGCCTCTGGCGTCTTTACATAAAATAGATACTTCTTTCTCTAACAGCATCTGAACACACTCTTCATGCCCAGTCATAATCTGATAACAAAGAAATGAGTAAAGAGGTTGACATAATACAGATTCTTGCCCAGGAAATATGGAATATGATTGATGCCTGTGAACATGAAACAGCCTGGATGGGATTCAGAAGGCAGAGATGAAAGCTCCTGTGGTCCCGTGAGTACCTATGATAACTGATACACTGAAATGTATTTGGTACTGCCTTTCAAAGGCATTGATTCCTAGTCTGTGGAAGAGACTCGGCTAAGTGAGGCACAAAAGCAAGGAGGATTTTAAGACTAAGGAAACAGATGAACAAGGGGTGAGGTTCGGAAAACTGGAGTCTGGCTTCTCAAAACCATGTACGAATGTGAGAGAAGAACTGAGGGAAAAAAAGGATCAAGAATATCATCAGAAATAGGAAAAGCTGCTTTAACAGCTGGCCAGCTACTATCAGTGACCTCTGTATCATACATAGGTTAGCTTTGGTATCTTGGTCGTGTTCATGTATTGCTGTCGATACAGAACAGAAATTTTATGCCATAGCTTTTATTACGGACAGGTGTTGGACTCCTAAGCTGAACTGCTCACTGCAGTTATCATAGAGTGCTGTATAAATATCATCTCTTGCATCAACTTCACATTGGGTAAGAAGCAGACTCCTAGAAAAGATTAGATCTGCCTCGAGTTTCACTGCCTCCAGATCAAAACTTAAGGCTTACTTATTTACACCGTCCTCCCCAAGAAAAATGAAAATAACTGCTGGGCAGTTCTTTTAAAGAAATTATTTTCAGAATTCCTAAGGTGCTCCGTTAGATGAATAATGACCGCTATTGTAAAGTGTCTAGAGCCAAGAAAATTGGTCTAATCGGTATTTTATCTAATGAATTAAAGTGAACGTGAAATAAAGTCAAAAGCAGAGCATTACTGAGAGTAGATCCGTCCTGCCTTTTACCTCATTGACTGTGCTTGGTCAGGTTTCCAATCATTTACAGTATTCCCTACATTCAATATCCCTGTATTTATAAGTGAGTTGTAGTCACAGTAAAACAAATAATTAAGAATCCTAAAAAATAAGTCACCCCTCGATGTAAAGCTGTGCATCCCAGGAGATCAGCTGCATCTACAGATGCGTCTTTTTCAAGTAACAAAGAAACAGCATCAATGTGCCCATATGCCACGGCAAGCATTAGTGGGGTTCTAGAAAAAACAAAAACAAACCAGTCACAGCTATAAAATGACATACTACTTACCACTGCTAACTTACAGGAATAGAGAAATCAGGAAGCCTTGCATTTCCCTCCGTTCCTACCCACAAACCTGTTTCTTTCACCATACTCATCTATATAACACCTAAGTGAAGACCTTTTGTATGAAATTATTAAGATGTTTAACAACCGACTACCATGACTGAAATAGAAAAAAACTCATTTGTAAGCAGTTTACAGAGCAACATCATTCAAGACAATCTGTTCCTTTAATAACCTACAATTATTGTCACCTCCAGCAACACATGAGCTTTGCAATGCCCAAGTGTTGTGAATGAAAGTCCCTCCTAGTTACCAAGATGACAACAACCCAAAGCATTTTTTTTGCAAATGCTGCGCAATTGCATAAAGGGGATGAAGGGACATGAGGAAACTATTCAAGCCAAAATTTGGACTAACATGTCTTCCATTTTTTTCTGAAAGGGATCTATTCTCCTTCTATTTTTAGATAAGACTAATACCATTTAAAATTATATGTGTAGTCAGATATGTTCCAGGCACCTCAAATGAGTTTTTTAAACCATTCACATTTTCACTTTAAAAATATACTTAATTCTCCCTCTATAACTGTCATTTAACGAGAAGTAAAATTGTGGTGGAAACATCTCAAATTCATGTGTCACCTCAAATAAACATTCTGTCTCACTGCACCAGCCTAATACACCAAATAAATCCTGAAATATCAATGTCTTAGAAAGAAAAAGACTCTCTATAGAAACATCTCAAGAGCGTGTTCGTTTTTCTTGAATCTGGCCCTCAGCTTCTATGAAGAATTGTTTAAAGTATGAAGCAAAGGCTAAGATTAATGAATAATCCTTTCCACATGGCTTAGATCAACTGAATGTGTACTTTGTAAACTCTGCCAAATTCTATAAGGAGACGTGCAGGAAATACAGTATTTTCAATAAATGCCTTTTTTGTAAGAAATTCGAGATGCTATTTGAATCACAGAGCTGAAAAAAAACCCATCACAAAGAAAACTTACTGTCCTTTGGCGTCTGTCACATCAGGGTTGTCTGCAACTTCTAGCAACAACCGTAAACAAGGTGTATGGCCATTAATGACTATAAAGAAAAAAAGTACGTTTAATTAAAACATGTTTAATTTCAGATACTTTTCCATTGTAATGCTGATGGATAAGAAATTTCCTTATAAAGAAGGAAAATATTCCACAGTATAAGAAATTAATATTCCCACAATTGTCCTTTAACTTGTGCCGATGAAATGGTGAGCTGTTTTTTCCCTGACCTCAGTAAGACGAGGATTAGTTCTCTTACATACAGAAATCCCAAATGAGTAAAACAGAAATCGTGATTTTCACTGAGAAAGATTTCTGCTAAACCAGACAGCATTTCAAAATCCCTCAGACCGAGCAGGCAGACAAGGCTTTCTGCGATCAGATTTGGAACGCAGTAGGAAGTACGTTGGCAAGGCTCATCAATTTTGTGTGCACTGCACAAGCAAGTTCTTCAGCGCTGCCATGAAAAAAGAAGCATCTGCAACGAATGACCAACGATACAAACGTCATATTCATAACAGCACATACCACCAGAGACTAAAATTCCTTTTGGTTTTTTCCATTTTTTCTAGCTTAACATTTCTGGAAGCCACAGCTACTTCTCAAAAATGGGGCTTGCTTTTTAAAATGTAACCCACTGCTGTTGGAAAACAGCTCTGAGTTACTAAGTTTTGCGGGGCCTGACACTGGAAACTCACCTGTGTGACAGCTGGCTTAAAGGCTTCAGCTTTATACAACTCATGGGATGAACAGAACAGTATTTTCTTCTTTGAAAAACAATAATTCCTGTACTCAGTAGATATAGATTGTGTTCTTATTACAGCAAGTCATGCATTCACACTGCCTACACCCTGTGGGCTGAGGCAAAACCCTTGGACACCACCTATGTCACATCATTCTGGCGGAGAAATGGGCGGACATCATCACATTTAAATCACTCATCCAAAAATAATCTTAGTTGCTCTACCCAGAAAAATAAAGACATTTTTAGTTATTTACCACTAAGTAATGCCATATCATGTACATGTAAACAGTTGTGTGGGGCTGATGAGTCACTGGCTTGGGGGGGGGGGGAAATCTTCTTTTTTCTCTACAGGGAGAGAAAACCTGGTTGGGGGGGGGGGGAATCTGTTCTTTCTTCTGACAGGAGGAAGAGAAACCGTAACTTGTTCACACCGACGTCTGAAAAGGATTTTGGTAAATGAGTTTTAGAACAGATACTCCCAGAAACTCTTAGGAGCTGACCCAGCGATTGCTAAGCATTACAGAACCTGCAGGGAACATTAGTTTTGCCAACAGAGCTACAACACTAACGCTAGGGGAACATTTGCAATGGATTCCCCAAGCTAGCCAGAGGAAAGACTGGTGGTAATAAAATTATACAGGGAACATATAATTTAGGCTAAGGAAATTCTCCATATTATGAGGTCAGAGGAAGTCTATTCCCTGAGGGGGAGAGACAGACAGAAAAAAGAAATACTTCATTAGGTGATTTCTCTACTGAAGTTACAAATCCCTTTACTGGACGATGCTCTGCAGAATCCTGTAATCCAATCCACCACTTCAGGTCTCCTTAACTGTTGTGTTCTGCAATTGTGCTTGTGTAATTAGAAGGACTGAAGGCAAACACGCTTAAGGGGATGGGCACACGTGCCTTCTTGTTTCTTTCCAATGGACGGGAAACACATGCAAGCATTCACTTTCGTGTGTGCAAAAGCGCACTGTCACTCAAGGGATTAATTCAGCAAGAATTCTGTTTGATTTCTCAAAATATGCCAATTTACCTCTTACACGTGCATTGCAAATAAAAAACGCTGGATACTGCAGTGGCACCATGCAGAGTTTCCCGTAGGTGGCATCGTTCTTTGCTAAAACACTCCTAAACTGTTCTGTTACGAAACAGCATAATAAAAATCATCAGATTGCAAGTGGCTTTTCATAATAGTTAGAGATAGAAGCTTTATTCCAGAGCTAATTTCCACAGAACTCTGCATAGCTCTTGATCTAAACGTTGTCTTAATGGCTATTTACCCAAAGTGCACTTATCTCCCATTTTAAAGCCTCCAAATTCATGACAGTGATAAATTTCCTTTACTAAGAGTTCAAATATTCAACCTGTCTCTGCAGTATTTTCCCTTCTTAAGGTACATGTTTTCTTTAGTGTCTCATTCCTGTGGGTAGGGCTTTCTTGCTTCTTCCCTTTTTTTCCTCCTTTTTTTAAATACACACCTAATTTATTTTGTTTCACTGCAGATATAAAGAACATTTTGCTTGTATCCCTGGAAGATTTTTTTAAATCTTTTAAAATTTAAAATTTAATTTTTTTTAAGCAAAAAAATATCACAGACCAGAACAGTCTACAATGAATCTTCCTCCTGGTTTTACATGGAAGGCACTCATACGACAGTGATGGGGTCAATTAAAAAAGAAATTAAAATAGGGGAAAAAAACCCCCACAATCAGAATTTGTATGAAGGTAAGAAATGTGCATATTAAAGTAACATCTTCTATTCAACAAATCTACCCAATTCTATTCAACAAATCCATATTTTAAGTCCGAGCTGCTAACAAAAATATGGCTTTGTTACCATTTACTTTTCTCAGTACTGCAGAACCCCTACAGTTCAGCTGTGACAACAAGAAACCTATGTTTTTAAATAAATGCAAAATCATTGCTCTAGTGATGAGGTACCAGACAAAGCCACACCTTGTTCATCATTCAGACCCCAAGCTATGTTTGAAGTGACTATAGGAAAGCTCTTGACCAACACAGCTCCAGTTTTGTGGCGGCACTGATCTTGATTTAAATTAATTAAACCAACAGTTTTAACAGGATGTGGATCAGCTGGATTTACTATTTTGTGTTTTTATCAAAAACAACTAAAACCCCCTCTCACTGAATTCTGGTCTCAAACTTCTGATATGTAAGCTCCGGTAGCACATCTCTATATCATTAGTTTACTGGGGAGTAATGTACTCAGTTCTGATGCAAAATTTAAGAAGGCAGAAAGCATTTTTTAGTATGCTGTGAAGATCTATTATGCACATGTTCTTCAGTACTGCACACAAAATTGCTAATAGTCTATTTGACCTTATGCTTCCAGGTTGCACTTATATGATCACACACAGAGAACAAACTGGTATTAGAGGATGTATGTGCATTTTAATCTAAGCAAAATTTAAAGATAAACAGAAAGACAATTAAGTCTGGCCCTGATAATGTTATCCAATGAAGTATTAATTTTACTTCCCACTAGAGGTCACTGCTATGCTGTACTGAGCCCCTCGATGAACAGCCAGAGGAGAAACGTTCCCTTTGGCACCCCTGCATATTTATCTGACAGGCACATATTAAATAATAACCTTTAAATAAATGCCAAATTCTACATTTTCCAGTTAATTATGCACGTTGCATAATTAACACTCAACACATGAGGAATGGAGCAGACTCCCAGCAACAGCAAGTTCACAAGCTAGCTCAGGAGGAGGATAATGTCTGAAATGGGGTGAATTTCTGTAGTGTTGCCCCTGCAAAAGGTTGAAATTTTTAAACACCAGGATAGTTTCATCACCAATGAGAGCCTACCTGTATTTTCAACCTTTCTTCCTTAGGAGAAGCAGTGAGGCACGTGCTCTCTCTTCCCCTGATGTTTTGGCCGAGGAACCATTAAGAGAAGATGTCGTAGGGGAAACATCACACATCTTAAAGAGCAGGTGGTAATAGAGAGGTAAGGTAAAGTAGAGGCAAGCGGGTAAGGGCAGAGCAGTAGTGGTGTGAAAAAATATGGGATTCTCTGTGAGGGAGGACTGAACCACTGGGGCAGAGGAAAAAAGACCAAGGAAATGAAAGGTAAGAGTTAACTGTAGGACCTTAGCAAAGAAGCAGCAGTCCTCAGTACAAGTCAAAATCTCCTCCTTCTGTTGTTTAGAAGAAATGTGCATAGGGATAGTAGGTAGGTAAAGGTAACTGCTTCTGTGTTTTAGCGTTTATACCACAAGAGTAACATAAGATCACACTCACCTGAGGCGTGGAGAGGGGTCCTTTTGGTGACATTGTCTTTTACAGTGACAGAAGCACCCTGGCTGATGAGAGCTTCCACGCACTCTGCATGTCCTTTAAACGCAGCCAGGTCCAAAGCAGTGCGTCCCTTCTCGTCCTTAATATCCAGGTCTACCAGAGATTGGAGAAGTACCTCCAAGGCTTGATGATGACCGTTATAGGCCTAGAAATATGAAATGAGTCATGTAAAGAACACAACTCTTGTCTTTCAAAGTCTTTCACATAAAACGTGAATAAAATCCATCATTGTCACAGTCTCCTAAACACAGTAGAAATGACACAGTTTTCTTGATTCCTTATGACTCTCTCTTCAACTTGAAAGGATTTTCCCAAATTACACTGTAGCCAAGAAACTAAAAAATTCCTAGTGTTTAGGGACAGAAATTATGATTGTTGATTTGCTCTAACCTTCGAATACAACCCAAGGTGAGGAATTTCAGGCAATAATTTGCCAATTCAGCACAGGTGAATCAACAATTCATTTTTCACATTCTACAGTATCCTTCAGGGAAACGTTTGCTCAAAAACTAGATTCACTAGTGATGCTGGTCAGAGGTCGCATGGATTATCACCTAACTGGGTGCTAAATTCAACACATCTGCTGGTCTCCAACTAAACGAAAGCAGTTCTCAAACCAGATTTTTGTGCAAATACAAACACAAACTTGACCTGCTCTTTATAGCTGATGCTTCATGGAGTACTCCTGTCAGTAGGATCATGTGGTAGAACAAGTACAGTGGACAAGCAGATGCACTTCCAGACCTACAGCCACATCTGGGCCAACAGCACAAACACAGGTGACATTGCAAAAACCCAGTGGGTAGCCCCAGAAACTAGAAACATTTCATTCAGCTTTGTAGGGACTGCCCTCCTCTCATTACTGTCAGACTCACAGAGAACATCCTTTTTATTTATACATGAATGTATAATTAGTATTACCAGAGTTGAAGCAATTAATGAAAACAGAAGAGAAATGCAAACATGAAGGAACCAAAGAGCCACTGAATTTCAAGGTTAAGTAGTGGTGGCAGCAGCTTGCTCCTATTGACCATTGTCAAAAGTTCAAAGAACAGGACAGTGCAGGGAACAAACAGTTGTTTCCCTGTTAGACCGAGACAACTACTTAAGGAAAGCAAAGGCAAAAGCAGAAAAAGAAAAGCAAGGGGAAATTAGGGCACAGGGAACCCATATCTCAGAAAATACTCCAACACAGCTGCCAGCTTTTCTTCTTCATGACAATTTTACTTAGAAAACAACTAGCAACAACCTGATCTTTGACACAATATGAGGTACCTATCTTGAAGGTGCCATGCAGACTGTATAGCCCATCCTCTCCTTGAAAAGATAATAAAGTTGATTTTTTTCTTCCTGTTGGTTTGCCTTGTGCAGTCATTTACTCAACCATCACCATAATCATGCACCATAGCCTCAGAGAACGGCAGGTCAGTTTTTTGTTGGCTGCTAGTCCACCCCTTGTTTCTAAATCCTATTTCCATTCTAGGGTCAAACGTCTGTAAGCAGAGGCCTTGGCCACTGCACCGTATCAACCATTTGACAGGACTTCATGTTTTGGTGTAGGTTGCTGGCTTTCTGGATCCATGCGTGGAGACATTTGTGTGGACACTGCTAGACCTGGGGAAGGATGACCACAGGCACCCCAGTACATGGGAGGGTTTGAAACAAATGTCAGAGACACTCCTGGATAGCTGCAATTGAACTGTGAAATAGTGATGTTTTATGTAAGCTTTTTTATTTTTAAACTGTGGGTCTGGGATGTCTCAGGTGAATGAACTGTTGTTAACCAGCAACAGATACAAGAGGGAGAGCCACTGGCAGTATCCTTGTGAGGAGTCTGCCCAAGAGGGACCAGAGAGGAAATGAGTTTGCTGTCTGGCCAGCTGCAGGGCAAGTCCCTTCCCAGCACAGGAATTTGTGCTGATGATAGTGCAGGTTGTAACTCCTCTATGGGCTTGGGAGTGACACTCTCCTTCCTGCAGTCTTCAAATTGCAGAAAAAAAGATGGGGAGAAGAGTTCAGTGACAAACTTGGTCTTTTAAGCCAACTGTTTTGGCTCTTGTTCCCTCAGATTACGCGTGGATAATTCAAACCTCAGGCCAGAGCTGTTCTGGCTGACTGGGAAACAGAGATATGATTGCTACAGAACTAAAACTTGCCCCTATTTTCACATAAGCAAGTTGCTTCCCTTTCAAAAGGAGGGCAGCTTCATGGCGAGTTTGAATATTCAGTGAAGAGCCAGTTTGTGAAAGACGTATGAGGAGAGGCTGAGAGAGCTGGGACTGTTCAGCCTCAAAAAGAAAATGCTCAGGGGGGTCTTATCAATGCGTATAAACACCTGATGGGAGATCAAAGAAGACAGAGCCAGACTCTTCTCAGGGGTGCCCAGTGACAAGACGAGGCAATGGGCCCAAATTCAAACATGGGAAAGTCCATTTAATGCAAAAAAACCCCCATTTTTACTGTGATGGTGGTCAGACATTGGAATAGATTGCCTGGAGACTGTGAACTCTCCATGCTTGGAGATATTCAAAATGTGATGGGGCATGGCCCTGAGAAAACCTGCTCTAGATGACTCTGCTTTTAGCACGGAGGTGGGACTAGCTGATCTCCAGATGTCCATGTCGACCTCAACTATTCTGTGATTCTGCACAAAACTGGGAAGAGGGATCATGAATCTTGAGCTCTTGGGAAAGGGGAGCTATTGTGATCTCTGAGGCCCACATATGCTGGATGCCCTTTTGATAGCACGGTTTCCGTGGCATGCTCCCAGGGCAATGCTGGGGTTTAAGCATGCTTTCCCACACCTTGCTGTGTACCAGACAGTTTTTTGCACTCTGTACATCTCCAGGAGAACATCAGAGTATCCCATTCCATGACCAAAGCCATAGGCTCAAGCTCCAGCCCCAAATTTATAAACTAGTTATAAATAAAAGTTGCAACTTTCCATTTAATTTCACTTCGGTGTCTGTGTCTTCTTCTTACCTGAGTGTTAGAGTCGATAAGAACAAAGAGCTTCAACTGTCAAAAACTTAATTAACGATTCCAGCCCAGAACCTGGTTTTGTTACATCTAGGCCTACATCCCTTCCCAGCTTTTTCAAAACAAGTCTATGATTAAACCTGCTTCAAAGACAGAGATTAAGGAATTATTCTAGGAGATAATGATCAACACTTCACATGTCTCATACTTACAGCTAAATGCAAAGGACTTTTTGTAGCTGCAGAATCAGACTCCTCAAACATATTGTTGGTTTTTTCCAGAAGCTGGGGGAGGGAAAAAAAAAAAAGACAGTCTTAAAACATCTTTGCATGAGATGGGATAAATTCCAATGGACTATAAATCAGCAGACAAACATGTATTTTGTCCTCAGATGTCTGCAGTGAGTATTGAAGGATTGTGAGGAATAAATACTTCACAACCTTTTCTGTAAAGTATTTTCAAGTTTTTCCCCACAGGGTAAAATTATAAAAATAGTTTAAAAGCTTGTCACGAACATCCTTACCCCGATTAATTAGTTTCCTTGAAATCATAGGGCCTGCTTGGGTGAGAAAGGAACCCTCAAAAGGAAAGATTTGTGGAGTAGAGCCCGCAGTAAGTTTACACTGGAAAAAGCGCACTTTCATAATTACACAGGTAATGCATATGCAAGCCATGTCTGACACAGCGTTTCAGATAATTCTGACACATAATTAGCACTGGGAATAATTATAACTGAGCTGTGAGTCATTCACAGTCATTTTTATAATTTATCAAAGTAGAACCTGCTCCTATAATCTTCTGAATTCTTCCGAAACGCAACACATTCTTGAACTCTTACAAACATCTAATAACATGCATCGCATTTTTATATGATCCTTTTCATTTCAAGGGATCCCAAAGCATCTTAAGGCTTAACAAACAGGGCATTTCCGTCCATCTAGAAGGAGGAACTGTGGCTTAGCACCACTCCACAATAGCACATGAACCCTGACAACTTATCCAATTGAGGCTGCAAAGAAAATCATGCACAGTATTGACAACAATATTGAGAATTCAACATTTGTTGAGTAGCACTGCTCATGTGCATGGCAGTAATAACTACTCAAATAATTAGTCTCCAAATACCTTTGTGACTGGAAATTAGCATTTTACAGAAAATTAGTAATAGGAGATTGTAAAAAGGAAAGAAAAGCATGACAGGTAATTACAACTGACTTGTAGTATTTCTAAGGTTACAAGTCAATTTTTCACACAGGTTTTTTGAGGGTTTTTTTGACAGAGTAAGGAATTAACTAGAAGACTGCAAGAGAAAAAGAGGAAAGGTTTGTGACCATCTGGACAATTCTAGGTTATGAAAACATGGAAGGCTCCCCAAAAAGGCCAGTGAAAGCCTATGGTAGGCACAGAATTTACCTGCCTACACTGCAAGATGATGGCATATCCTAAATTCTGATGTATGCCTGAACTTTCGGTGTAACAAATTAGTCTTTAATAGACCTACATCAAGGACAAATTTATCCAAAAATCAAACTGGAATACAAGCTAGTATTAATAATGCATAAGATGTCACAAATCTCTTATTACAAGGACACTGATCTGAATCCTGTGGAAAAGCTATAAAATTAAGCAGTAATTTTATTCATATATTTTGTGCCTAGTAAAACATCAGGACTGGGAAACAAATTCGTGTTGATGCAAATACCACTCATAAGCAAGTGGGTGTGTGTATTAACAGGTAATACAGATTTTAACACATCCCTGCAGCTAAGGGAAAAAAAAAAATCAAGCTTTTCAGTAGGTTTAGGGCAGGGTTAGGAAACACATTTGGTCTTACCATGTGGAGCCACCTCCAGTTTAAAATATTGTTCTTCTTTTATATAAGATAGCTATAAACAGGTTGAAGCAGTAGCCAGCTCTGAATACATGAATACATTCTGATTTTCTCTAGTGAGTAAACAAACTAAAAAAAATCCCACCAAACAACCCAAGCACTAAGCTTGGGTTCCTCTGCCTGCCTAATACTGGCCTTTACTCTGAGTCCGTAAGGCCAGCACAGCAGACTAATTTAATCACTTTTAATTACATTTATCATCATCTGTTGAAATTCCAGGATCAAAATCTTAACATAGAAATACTTTCCTTAACCTGTCAGAAGGCTCCAAAACTCTCCTGGAACAAGGTTGATAATTGCCTTTTGAGTAGGTGAAAAAACCACACAGAAAATTGACAAAATTAAGGCTCTAAAGGAACAAATTGTGGGATTGGAGAGCCCCTCACAAAAGGCATCTCCATGGCTTAGAGTTAAAGCAGCTTAGGCTGATGCAAACTAGGCTTAATGAGCTTATTACTCATAAGGCTGAATGTCTCCATCATAAAGCCAAGTGTAAACAAGAATTTCATGGTAAACCTGGTAGCTCTCAGATACATAGCCAGACAGTGCAAGAGGAGAAATTATAAATGAGAGCAAGAAGAGGAAGATTAAAGACACAGCACTAATAATTTTTTAGTATGCCTTGTCAAGCACCGCTTTAGAACAATTAAAACTAACTCATCTGAAGGATAAACATCATGCTCAAAGAGACAAAAAGTACCAGGTCCGAGTTACCAAGCAAATTCTCCAGTTTCACGAGCGTTTCTATGGTTCTAAGAATGCATTTATAGTAAATTACATATACTTGTTATAAGAACACATAAAGCTGTGTATCCTTGGGGGGCTCTAGCTCCATAATGCTTCCAGCTTAAGAGTATACTTGTAAGAAGCTACCCACAGTTGCACCTGTTTCTAAAAAAGGTGAATTTATCGCTCAAAACCATTTGCCCTGACAGCCATGGAAGCTTAAATCCACAGAGCCCGCAGAGCAATCTAAGCGTGTCTGCTGTGCTGCAATACACACCTGCCTGCTAGAAGCTGGCCAATGCATTTCACTGAAGACAGACAAATAAGCGTGAATTACTAACAGGTTTATGGTCATTGGTGGCTGACTGGAGAATGTCCCAGCATATCTCAGTTCTAATTTCTTGTGTCATTGACATAATGTCTTTTAGCTGATTACCTTTCTATATATTGATTGTCCGCAGATCTTAAGCGGATGTCAGAATTGTGCAGAGGCACTGCAAGTGAAATTGGTGGACACGGTTCTCTCTAGTTAGGTTATAGCCTTTTAAAAGGTAAGAATACCCTTACTTCTCTTTCTGCCTCTTGGAAATTCCCAGCACAACCCCTTCACTTCCCATAACAGCGCTATTTAATACTGTATGTAATTATCTTGTAAAGTCTTCTTCACACTCAGAAACAGGAACTTGAATGCTTTGGGAGTGAGATGCAGACAAAGTAAGATAAAACATGTCAATTATTCAGTTCTATTGTTACAAACTAATAGCGCTACAAGGCTGCTATTAGAAACTGTCTTCTCTCCCCCAGCTCTGTATGAAGTTTAAAAACATTTACAGTTCTCACAATTTTATTTTATTTGTACGGTAAGGGTATTTACAGACATAAGAGGCTTTACTGCTTGATTTTATTCTGTGGTTATAATAAAGGATTATATGGCAGGATATGGTATAGGGAGTTTTCCCCCCTCCTTTTTTTTTTTTTTTGACTCAGATGTGCCAGGTAATGAGTCAGGGTAGATCTTACGATTGTCCTTATAGACTGTAATATATTCTAAAATTCAGCTCTGGTTAAAAAAAAAAAAAACAACTTCATGGAGCATCTCAGTAATTTAAAATTACCATTAGGCAGAAAAGGAGATAATACTTTAACCATGCATAAAAGGTTTAAGATACACTTTTAAAAGGAAGATGTCAGAAGCAACTTCAAACCGTAGACACTGTAACGATGGGTGCTATCTCAAATGCTATAAGAGAACAGAACAGGTGTGGTTCTGTACAAGCCATCCCGCACCCACACCTCCAGGCACAGCCATTTAAGTGCACTGCTGGTAGTTATGTTAAAGGTTTGCTCTAACTACCACTGAAGTTAAAGTGTCTTTTCTTTGAGAGTTTTACTATTTTAGTGAGTAAGGCAACTTCTACATTCCAACATGCATACTTCCAGCACTGTTAATGAACTGCTTCAGTTTGGTGCTATTAATACTAATCATAAAATGGCAAAACATTAGATTACATGTGTATAACCTATAAATGGCCTTTACTCTGAAAGGTTATTAAGCAAACGGCGTTCAGAAATTTTCACACATGTGAAGAGCTGATCAAAAGGCAATTAAGACAAAAGAAATAGTTGAATATTGCTCTTCTGCAATAATTCCATTGCAGTGTAGCTTATCACTTACAAGGTCATTCAGAAGTGGCAATTAGTAACAATTTTTAATGTCACTTTCAGAACTGAATAAAAACGTATCAGCTAGGATGTCACTTGGAATCTCATCTTTCCTGATAAATTGCAATAGATAATTGTCTCTGCTGGGGGAAAACATACCACCAGCAGCTTCTTTTAAATAAAGGCTTTTCCAGCAAGTAGCAAGCGGAAGATTGAAGACTCTCATCAGTTGTGTCAGATGAGATAGAACAGAGTAATAGAATTAACTTCTGCACTACTTTATACCAGGGAAGCACATTTTTAAATCTCAGAATTATTCTTGATTGAATAATTGAAAGGTGAAGTGGTACAAACATATCCTCGGGGGGGACAAGCAATCCTATAAGCTCTCTCCATATTTGTAACTACAAATGATCAAATTATTCTAATTTGATCAGGTTAAAAACAATACATATCCTTAACCCACAGTCTGATACGTTTTCCTAAAATCAGGCTTTAAAAATCAGATTAATCAGTGTTTACATCAATTTCACTCACGTGTGTAGAACATGGGTGAAGTTAAAATAACATAAGCAAGAAGTTTTGCAAGAGCTTAAGTAGACTGAGTCTGAAGAAATTTATTAGTAGTTCCATGCAGCTCTTCCAGTACAAAGTGTAAACATCCAATAAATATGCCACTTACCTGGCATATAAAAGAACAATGTTCAAGTCCTTAAACATATCTAAATTCAAGCAGACCTCCAGGCCACTGGCTGTTCTCACGTGGGACACTAATCTTCTGTTGGAGCTCCTCCACTTCATACAAAATCGTTTCATATTAAGCCATATGAGTGCCATATTCAGTGGGTTATACAGGAGATTCTCACCCAATGAATATACGAAGCAGGACAGCTCCAAACGAGAGCAGGAGATCCTACCCAGTACCAGCCAGCATAACATGTTGGTCACTTCCCGGGATGCAGAAGTCCAATTTCTTTGTCAGTCAGGGCAGAGATTTGAACCTGG